CGCCCTGCTCCTTGGGCCGCGGCGTCGGGTCGAGACTCGCCATCTCGCCCGGCGCGTCCACAGACCGCCGAGTCGGAAAGGAGCTACTGTGCCTCGTTTAGCGCGCTTGTGATTATGTAAACCCATGGATGCCCAGGCCGCCCGGCCGGGTCGTGGGGCAACGGGCCGGCTACATAGGATGGATACTAGTCCATGGTTTTCAGAAATGCTGCGCGAGCCGGCACGGCAAACCCCTGCAGCGCACAGCGGATGGACTCCGACTCCGCTGTGCGCATTGTGCCCTGGGTCGTTCGTTCCCTTATCGCTCGACAATCCCTGGGCCGGGGGCGGTTGATGTCTCCGGGCATCTCCCCTGGCCACGCACTAGTCGTTAGCGCTGGGGGGCGCCTGACCACCGCACCCTGGTGGAGGTGGAGCGCGGGTTACTGCGCGGCGCGCTGCCGGTGCTAAGGCGTCGACCTTACATGTTTTGGCCAGGCGACCAGGGACGCCAGTGGTTACCGAACAGTTTGGAAACGTTTGGTTCTTCCGGCATTTCTCGGAGGGTGGGTGGGGGAACTCTGGCGGGCTTCGAACGTAATCCTGTAATTCGCCAAGCTGCGAGCTGCGCGTACCCGTGTTCTCGCTTGGTTGCCTGTGCCGCCTTCGCCTTCGGGCCGCCCGCTGCGCGGGGGTCCGGTCTTGCACCGGGCCTCTTTGGGTGGGGGTCTTGCGCCCTGTTGGCACGTGGTGCAACCTCGGAAGGCCCAGGCCGCTTGCGAACCGCATGGGAGGGAACGTCGCATGGGCGGGGAGTCGCGTAATGGGATACGCACTGCGCGTTTATGTACATTGTGTATGGTACCGTGCGTTTCGCGAGTGCGTTGTACGCTATTATGTTGTGTACGTTGTCCGGGATCTGGCCGCTTTCGAGCGTAATCCTGTATTTCGTCAAGCTGCGAGCTGTGCGTGCCCGTGTTCTCGCTTGGTTGCCCGTGCCGCCTTCGCCTTCGGGCCGCCCGCTGCGCCGGGGTCCGGTCTTGCACCGGGCCTCTTTGGGTGGGGGTCTTGCGCCCTGTTGGCATGTGATGCAACCTCGGAGGACTCAGGCCGCTTGCGAACCGGATGGGGGGGAACGTCGCATGGGCGGGGAGTCGCATAAAGGGATACGCACTGTGCGTTTATGTACATTGTGTATGTTGTGCGCACTCATGAGTGTGTGTCGTACGCTATTATGTTGTGCACGTGTCTGGGATGCACGGGCGCACAGTGATCCCAACCGCTTTTCCAAGGGGGAACCGCCCACCATTTGGACCCTGCGCAAACGAGTGTTTGGGTGTCCATGTGGCCCGCTGCGGGATATCCTCTCCTCCCCTGCCCCCCCTCCCCCTCCTCCTCCTCCTCCCCCTTTTCCTGCTCCGCCCCCCCCTTCCTCCTGGCGGGCATCTCGCGTCGGCCTCTGCGCTTCGCCTTCTGATAGGTCGGCGGGGGCCGCCGTCCGGGCGCGCATGCCCCCCAATAGCAGCAGCAGCAGCAGCAGCAGCAGCAGCTGCAACCTGGCATGACCCCCGATCCGAAGTAGAAGTCGCCTGCGGAGTCGAGCCCGTCGATCTGGACGCTGGCGCACTGGTAGCGCTGGTGAAATAGCCGTTGTTCTGTTACGCTAAGGGCGGTCGGGATAGTGTCGATGGCCCTGTCGATCTCGGTGCTGGGGAAGGCGTTGGCGGCGCCCTTGCTGCCGACGACGAAGTCTGCTTTGACCCGCTGCAGGCGGTAGGCGACGACGCGGGAGGCTGCCATGGGAACTTCGCGACGCCGATGAGGCCAGCAGCCGTGAGCATGAGGTGGGGGTGACCACGGCTTGGACTTGCACTGAAGCTGTCTGTTGAAGCAGCGCCAGATGGGGCACAGCATGTGGAGCATGCGCAAGCCGAGGACCTTGGGCTTGCCGTTCTTCTTGTCGAGGGTGAAGCTCTGGCTGTGGCGGGCGTTGAGTGGGGCGAAGCCGACGCGGCACACGCGGTTGAGGACTGATTCGAAGCTTTCCTGCGCGAGGGAAGCCTCAGCGAGCTCGTCATCGTAGCCCACGCCTGTCGTCTTCGACTTCTGCTTGGCGATGTTGGCGGGCTGGAGGGTCATCTGGAAGATCTCGGCGGGCAGTGACCAGTCTGGCACGGAGGCGCGCTTCTTGAAGTACTTGAGCCGCTTAGTTACGCCGTAGAGTACTCGCTTGATGCCGTCCTTGGCGTCCTCGCATTCCTGGCGAACTTGAGGATTGTGTTCGGCGGTGAACTCGTAGGTGGTCTCTTTCAAGATGCGCTTCTCCTCCTCGAGGTCGATCTGGTGAGCTCTGAACCCTCCGTGCTGGCCGTCGTGTGCAATGTGATCTGCCCACTCCTGCTAGCTGGGGCGTGCTCTGGTCGCGCGGCTGTAGTTGCGGTTGCGCTTGCCGTAGTTGGTGCCGGCCAGGAGTCGAGACAGTTGATGTACTTCAGCGTGTTCTCGTCGTTGCCAAGCCTCGTAGATGCGCTCCTCTAAGTGTTGTCTTCGTTCGGCTTCGTGCTGGCGCTTCTGCTTCTTGAGGGCGCGCGAGAGGACCTCGATCTGGTACTCGATCTCGCAGTTGGGGTCGGTCCCGATGTACTCCTCTCTGAGCTTGGCGCGCTCCTGAAGTAGCCGCAACCGTTCCTCCATGAGCTGGTAGTACTGGTCGGGCTGGGACTTCTGGCGCTCGAATAAGGGCTTGGCTGCCTCCTTCGTGATGTTCACGATGAGCTCCCAGTGTTCGTCCGCTGCGTTGTCCCCTGCCAACTCCTTCAGCTTGTCCTGGTGCTTGCCGAAATTGGACTCCAGCGCGTCATTGAACTCCTTGCGGTACTTGCCCGTCTGCAGGGCCAGGGCCATCTTGTCGTAGTCCCAGGCGGTCCTCTTTAGATCTGTGAACGCATTCGGGATGATGACGCTGGCGGCTGCGATCAGTGGGACATGGTCGCGCGGCACGTTGTCATTGATGAGTTGAAGTGCCTTGGCCGCTCGCCACCAGACGCTGCAAGAAGTGATGTGGGTACATAGTCCTTGAGGCAATGCAATGTAGTCGGGACGTGTGGCCTGTCCTTGGGCTCCGAAGTACGTGGGCCCCGCGTTCCAGAAGGTGTTCAGGATGCACATGCCGTGCACGTCGAGCATGTTGTGGAAGGCAGCGGCTGCCTCGCCAGGTACTCCTGTAGGGCCTGCGTCGCCGATCACGTTGCTGGGCGTGGCAGGGAGCAATCCGTCCTGGCCGTAGTGGTCGTTCAGGTCGAGGCCGATGATCGGCGTGCTCCTGGTGGGCGTCTCGTTCAGGGTCTTGTTGATCCACTTGAGCGTCTCGTTGACCGTCTTGACCCAGGCGTTGTGGTACTTGGCGAGCCCTGACCTTGGAGGTAGATACGCAACAGTGGGTCATGTCGAGTTCTCCTCGACGAAGGCGAACTGCTCCTGCTCGTCCTTGAATGCTCGGCGGCGGGCTGGGAAGGTCGGTCACACACTTGATGCGGTAGCGGTTGCTGATCATGATGGCCACGCCCGCGTGATTGTTGGTGAAAGGGCCTCGGCCATAGCCCCACGTGAAGATGCGGTGCTTGTAGGTCTGGAGCTGGTCGACGGGGCTGGTGGGGTCGTGCTGCCTCCAACGAGTGGCTGGTAACATGACGACGTCGACTGCGCTGAACTGTCTCGAGATCTCCATGCTTCTTAATGGCGCAACCATGCTGAGCGGATTGTACACCCCCACCGCATGAATGTCATCCAGAAGATCGCAAGAGAAGAGATATGGATGGCCAGCCGCGCTGGCATGATATGAAGGGTGCCCTGAGGGCGGAAGCTGCTCTGCGTGGGCTGCCTGCTGGGCCGCGAAAGGTGGGGCTGGAGCAGGAAACGGCGGCTAAGGAGGAGGAGGAGGAGAAGGAGGAGGAGGAGGAGGAGGGGGAGGAGGAAGAGGAGGAGGAGGAGCAGGAGGAGGAGCAGGAAGCTCTGGAGATCGCCAGCCTCACGCTGCCCCCGACGGGCGAGGAGGCGCCGACGATGGGGGGAACTTCGGCTTTTGGGGGCGCCGCGGCGGCGGCCCCTGCGAGGCACGCCGTGCCTTTTGCGACCTGGTAGCGCGTCGCTCTGCCTCTCGGGTCGGGCCAAAGGGGGGGATAGCAAAGCAAAGGGTTTGAGAATCCGCTCGCGCAGCTGATTTTTCCCCGGCGCCTCCCGGCGCCGGAGGCGGCTAGGTATCGAGGAATGGGCCCCTCGGTGAGGCCGAAACCAGCTGCATGCAGCAGATTTCGTAACCCCCCCTTTCCCAATCCGAAGGGGCGCCACAGGGCCGAGGCGCACTGGATGTGGACGAACATCGGGCCTCCAGGGGGCAAACTTATCCGTATCCAGTGCGCCTCGGGCTTCTTGGGAAGGGAGCCCGAAACTCCAGACTGCTGCAGTGGACATAGACAGAAGTTTTGCCCGCACTCGTGGGACGGAAGGCTGGGGAAATGCTCGGAACGTTGATGCGTTGGGGACTGGGGCGCGATTGGCGCACCATGTTGAAGCATGGGAGGCGAGAGTCGGCGGCGCGACATGCTGCGTACACGCTCCTGACCGTGCATGCCTGGCGGCTCGAAGGGATCCACGCGGCAGTATGTTTGACGTTCGGGGCCTCCGGAGGCCGATTCGGGCCCCAGGACGATCAGCACACCACCCAGGACGAGCCAACGGGCCCCAGGAAGGGGTCGAAAGGTCCAGGGGCTCAAGTCTCGAAACATCGAGCCGAGGGACGCCTTGGGAGGAGATCTCGCGGAGGGAAGAGCGCAAGAAGAATACCAAAACAAATGGCGTGGGACACGCCTCAAATGCCACAGAACATCGACAAGGAGACCCGTGCGTCGCCTACGGTCCTACGCTCGGTCTGAGACTCCTCGCTGACAGAAGCCACGCCTGCCGCGCGAATGGTGAACGCTGTAGGCATGCGGCTCACAGCTGGCCACCGCTCTTGATGCCCTTCAGGAATGTTTCCACGCCATCTGACGCGCGTTGCGCGATGTGGTGCTTCGCCTGTACGAGAATCTTGCATGCAAGCCTCCTCCTGCGCTCATCTGAAAAATGGAGGACCAACTGACCGTCCTTGCCAGCGGCAGCATCGGCACCAGACATCGGCCCCTGTGAGACTCCTGCGGGGCGGGTATAATGGACCTGGTAGATAACGAGTGTGGTCGGTCTTGGACCTCTGAGGACCCCCCTTGGTCCAGGTCGTCACTAGACTGTCTCATTCTTACCCTCTGCCTCTTCTTCCTCCTCCTCCTGCTCTTCGCCCCACCTTCTTACTGTCATCCTCCTGGTCCCCCACCTCCTCCTACCCCGCCTACTCGCCGCGGGGATGTGGAAGGGGGGGTGAACAACGCCTCTCGACGAATATCCTAGATGCCAAGCCTGCTTGCTCTGATAAAATTCCCCCGTGGACAAGCGCACGCTATCGCAGAACTCTGCACGATGCGGCTAGCTGGTAAGTTCACGTGCCCGAGACCATACGATTCCCAATTACCGCAGCCTTATACATTCGCTGGACACTTGATGCTGTAGCTGTGTTACGGGTGTTACACGGGAAAATATTCCCGGCGGGTATGGTGTAGTCGCAGCGTTAAAAAGTTTTGGGTCACGATGGCCGGATACATCTCTATGATGAATGGAATTTGAGAAGACTGTACATATTGATTTCCGGAGTCAGACAGGAGTCGGCACGTCAGAAAACTACTCCGAATTGCACGGGGAGCGCCAAGCCTAAAGGGAAATATGGTGTCGGATGGGATTTAACATATTGATGTGCAGAATTAGAACAGATTCTGAACCACAAAAGAAAAACAAATCGGAATTGCAAAAAAACACATACTAAGCCCGAAGAAACATGTTCACCTGAAACGGAGTACTATGTTCAAGTCTACAGATATTACGGGTTCAGAATCACAAAGGAATGTGAATCCTAAGTGCCAGGGAATTGCCAGGCCTGTCGAGAAATACTGAGTTGGTGAGGGATGTGCATATTGATTTCCATGGAAAAAGGGTCTGGGTCACAGAGAAATTCGACTCGGCATTGCCAATTGCAAATAACATTCCATAATTATGTCCGCAATTAGAAAAGACCCGGAATCAAGGAAGCACTGTCATGAGAATTGGCAGGGCGTTCCCAGGCTTAAAAAGAAGTATTGGGTTGGAGGGGAATTTGCAGGTCGATTTCTAAAGTTACAAAAGGTTCTGACACACACAAAGCAATTGTGAGCAGAATTATCAGGGCATGCCAGGCCCAGGGAAAAAGATGGAGTCGGAGAGGAATGTACATATTGATCTCCAGAGTTCGAGCTTCTGAATCAAAGAACCCTGGTCATTCTGATGAATATCTCTCTTTACGAACTGGAATCGTTTCCTAATTCCGGAAAACACTGTGAAAATTCCTCTCAAACCGACCGTGTCTCTTTAGGCCTGGCCGAATATAGGTACTCTGTGATTTGGACTGCTTCCTAACTCTGGAAATCAATGTCAACTCCTCACGAAATCAAGATTTCTCTTGACGCCTGGCAAATCCGATTGCCATTATCTTGTGTTTCCGAATCCTTCTCAATGTCTACAAATTTGTATACCTTTCTCTCCAACTCAACATTTATTTCTCTGTTGGTTTGGCTAGTTCTTGAAAAAACACAGGTCAGGTCACCGCCAACTCAATGTCTATTCAGCCTGGAAGTCCCCTGGCAATTGCGATTCGAATTCCTCTGCGATTCGGAATTCAGCTTACCTCTGGAAATCAATATGTAACTATTCCCTTCCAATTGCATATTTCTCTGTAGTCCTGGCAACTATGATTATAATTCCCCTGTCATTCAGAATCCGTCTGAACTTTGGGAGTAAATATGTAAATTCCTCTCCATCTCACTATTTCTTTTGAGGCCTGGCAATTACGTGGCAAAAATGCTGAGAATCCCTCGACGCTCAAGAACCCTTTCGAACTCCCGAAATCAATCTGTACATCCCTCTCCAACTCAACATGTCTCTCTCAGCCAGAGTAATATTCCAATATGACTCGCAGTACTTGCCAACTCTGGAAATCAATCTGCACATTCCTCTCGAACTGAATGTGTCACTTTCGGGCTGGCATTTCCCGGGCAAGGTTCATCATAATCCCTCTGTGATTGGTAATCCTGTGTAAATTTGTGAATCAATATGTAAATTCGTCTCCAATTCAACATGTCTCTGCAGGCCTGGCAACTTCCTCGCAATTATGTTTCAAATTCCTCTTTGATTCGGAATCCTGTCTATTTCTGGAAAACACTATGTACTAACTCTCCTCCAAGTCCATCTGTCTCTTCAGGCCTGGCACATCTCTGGGAGCTCTGGCTCGAATTCCTGAATGGTTCAGAACATGCTCTAATTCTGGAAATCAAAATGTACCTGCCTCTCCAACTCAATATTTCTCGTTCGGCTTGGCACTCCCCCCACGCAACTCTGTCTATCATTCTTACGTGGTTCCAAAATCATGGACTAAACCCTGGACGTCAAAACGAAATGATGCTCCATCGCACTACTTTTTTTTTAGGCTTGGCAGTTCTTTGGCATTCCTGATCATAATCCCCCTGGGACTCATAGTCCTTTCTAACTACAGAAATTCGTATGCAGATTCCTCTCCAACTCGGGAGCCTCGAGACGGGGGTCAATGCAAACGGGGGTCAAGAGCGCCCGATCTTGCAGGATCCTGCATGGCCAGGGTCGCATTGACCCGGGTTTGGGTGCAAAATCCTTCAGGATCTTGCAAGATTCTTCGCATTGACCTGGGCTTGGGTGCAAAAACTTGCAAGATCCTGCAAGGCCCGACTGACCCGGGTCTGGATTGACCCGGGTCAGAAGATCCCCGGCCAACTCAATATCGTGTTTCTCCGGGTCTGGCGACGACCGGGCAATTCTTATTCGAATTCCGCTGTGATGCAAAACCCGTTCCAACTCTGGAACGAAATCTGCAAATAACAGCTCCTCTCCAACTAAATACTATTCTTTAAGCCTGGCAATTCCCCGGCAATTCCGACTAGAATTCCGATGTGATTCAGAATCCTCTCTAAACATGAAAAATCAATGTGCAAATTCCCAGCCAACCCAATATGTAATTTCAGGCCCAGCATTTTCTGGGGAATTCTGGTTAGAACTCCTTTGTGATTCAGAACCATCCTTAACTCTGAAAATCAACATGTAAACATTCCTCTCCAACTCGATACTATCTTTCGGCTCGGCAAATATCTGGCATTTCTGGCCAGAAATTCTCTGTCGTATCCAGGAACACTTCTAAATCTAGAAATTAGCATGTAGACTCCTCACCAACTCAACATGTCTTTTTCGTTCAGACGACGACCTGGTAATTCGGATACGAATTCCGATATGTCAAAGCCTTCTTTTAAACTCTGGGAGTACATAAATAAAAGCTCTTCTTCAACTCAATATTTCTCTTTCGGCCTCGCAAATCCCTGGCACTTCTGATTCGAATTCTTCTGTGTTCCAAAAATCCTGTCAAACTCTGAGGAATTGGTGTGTCATTTCCTCCACCCGGCAATGCTAGTGAGACTTTCTCTGTGATCCAGAACGCTTCTCTTGAAATAAATACGCAAATTCCTCTCCCATTCAATATGTCTCTGGTGCATGCGTTGGGTTCTTAGTCGCACTCACGCCGCACGCGGGCCTACAACATCAATGTCCGTTGCCCTTCTTGCTGCAATGTTTCGCTAAGGCAAATCGTTCCGAAACCTATGAACATTGTAACGCAACGAAACATAATGTAATAATCTGCCACCCCCCTTTGCCGATATTGGTGAGCAGCGACTCTCTTTATTACTGCTGGTTATGCGCGCTGAGAGGCACTGGCGAGGGACGTCTAACTAATCGATGCCAACATGCGTCGACTTCATACTGCAAGCTTCTATGCTTCTGACCTTACGCAATGCCACGTGTACACAGGCAGGGCGTCCCAATCGTGCGACGGTGCGCCTGACCAGCGGAGCTGCCGCCACACACCTAAGGCCTGCATGCAACATCTGATTTGACCAACATCGAATAACAAACACAGCGTAATCAACATGCACTTTCGGATGTCAACTCGAATTTCATGGGTCGGCGCTGAACTCCACTGGCGGCGCCTCCGGCGCCTTTCCTGGCGCGGAGAGGGGGTCCAGCGCCGACCCAGGCAGTCTGTGCGGACCGCTGAAATTTTGTGGCATGCCGATCTTCGCCCGCAAGCCCCAGGACGCGTCTAGGATCGGGGTAGACGAAGGGGGGCATCGTAACTGGGAGTTAGCGAATCTGAGGCATGTAGCTGCTCTGTCCGACGCCTGCTGCCGCCAAAGGCAATGATGTATCGAGAGATGCGCCTGGCGGTGGGGGCAAAACTACCTGCTTGAAGAAGTCGGCAGCGAGCGAGGGGGGGGAAGTGAGAAGGGGCGGAGCTTCTGAGAAGGCTCGGAGGTCCCCCAGCGTTCTGAGGAGTTTCCCAAGTTTTCCCCGAGGACGCCAGAAACGTCTCAGGAGGCGCGGGGGCTTCCGAGAAGTCCAGCCGCCGTCCGAGAAGGCCGTCTCCTCCTCGCGTCCGCCCCCCCCCTCGCTCGCCGCCGATAGGTGGTCTGAATGCTCTGGCGCTGGCCTCGCCGAGAAGAATGCACACGTCCGACGAGATGCCCAGGCCATGATTTCTCGGGTCGGGCGAACGGGGGGGATAGCAAAGGGGGGGGTTGAGAATCAGCTCACGTAGGTGATTTTCCCGGCGCCTCCCGGCGCCGGAGGCGGCTATGTATCGAGGAATGGGCCCCACGGTGGAGCCGAAACCAGCTGCATGCAGCAAATTTCGTACCCCCCCCTTTCCCAATCCCCCCCTTTCGTCCGGCCTGAATTTCTGACACCGCGTGCATCATCTCGTCTTTGGACCAGCGCGTTCCACTACTCGCAAATTAACTACTCGCAAGTGGCCTGGATCCACGGCGGGGGACTTACGATCCATCACGCGTGGGAAGGCTGTTCTCTTTCGGACGTTTGCGAGGAAACACTTCGCGAGTAGCGGAACGCGCTCGGTGAATCTGGCACGATCGCGGCTTTCACAACAGCGCAGCACTTCCGATGCCGGCCGACTCTGGGCCACCGGCTGCATTCGACC